CTGCCAAACTGTTTTCCAAAGTGTGTTTCATTTTATATTCCAACAAAGTTTGGGTTCCAGTTGTTCCACTTCTACTCCAAATCGGTATTTTCAGTCCTTCCTATTTCTAATGACTAGGTAGTATTATCTCATTACTTTGAATTTGCATTTCCCTAGTGTCTAATATTGTTGAGCATCTTTTTATATGCTTATTTGCCATCTGTATGTCTTTCTTGTTGAAGTAATTTTTACGTTTTTATTGGATTACACTATTAAGTTATAAGAATCCTTTATCAGGATATGTTTTGCAAATATTTTCTCTCAGTCTGTAGCTTGACCTTTGATAGTCTTTTGAAGGATAAAAGTTTTTAATTTTGATAAAGTCCAATTTATTCATTTTTTTAAATGTTTTGTGCTTTTGTTGTCCTAAGAAATCTACAAGGTTAAAAAGATTTTCCTGTATATTTTCTTCAACATGCTTTGTTATTTTAACTCTTACATTTAAGTCTGTGGTCCATTCAGATTTAATTTTGTGTATGGTGTGAGATAAAGTTCATGTTTTTGCATATAAATATCCATTTGTCCCAACACCATTTGTTGAAAGGCTCTCCTCTCCTCCAGCGAGTTACCTTGTTAAAAAGTAAGTTGACCATATGTCTGTGGATCTATTTCTAGACTGTCTTTTCTGTTCAAGTGACTTACAAACATCTGAAGAGCTCTCACCACTTTCTGCATTATTTTTAATACACAAATGGCTAATTCTAGGGCTAGCACAGAGAACATTACAAGACAAGATGAGCCTGGAACATCTTATAATGTCAGTTAATAAGAAAGCACTAAAAAAAAATGGGGATATGTCAGGGAACACAGAGCTAACTGAAAGGACTCCCAATGGCCAAAGCTGTAACAATTGAGCAACGAAATAAATAATGTTGTATAGGATTATAACACAAAGAATATCCATGAGTTCATACTGGTATAAATACACAGTTGAGTAAATAGATGAGGGGGGAAGACAGAAATGTCCCATAGAGATTTCCTAATAATTTATGCAGACTCTGCACCCTCAGGCAGGTAGAGCGTGACTCCCTACCCCTCAGGTGTGGACCACACTTAGTGACTTGCTTCCAAGGAAGGCAGTGTGCGAAGAGGGATGAAAGTAACTTTACAGTGGAGAAACATGGCAAAGACTACCTTAGCCAAGTGATTGAGAATAACATCAGTGATAAGTCATGCCGATAGGACGCATCCTTTGATGTGACATGATAAGAATAACATTTCATCTCTGAGGCCTTCTTCCCCAAAACCATAACCACAGTCTAACTATGAGAAATGCAGGCAAATCCCAGTTAAGGTGCATTCTACAAAATACCTGACCAGTTTTCAAAACTATCAAGGTCATAAGAAAACAAAAGGATTATCTAAGAAACTATCACGGTCTACAGGAATCCAAGGAGACATGACGATTAAGTGTAATATGCAATGCTGGCTAAGGTCTTAGAGCAGAAGAAGGACATCGGCAAAACTAGCGAAATCCAAGTGAAGTGTGGAGTTTATAGTTCATAATACTTCACGAGTATTTCTTGGTCCTGTCACTTTACCATAGTAATGTGTTTATGGAACTGGGTGTGGGGCATACGGAAACTCCTGTCATAGCCTTGTAACTTTCCTGTAAATCTAAAACTGTACTAATTTTTAAAACACAAGTTTGGGGGAAAGATGACTACATGCTTATCTCCACCACTGTACTTTTAATTGCAGGGTGCTGGTGACAGTTTTGTGGGAGCTTTGGCCTTCTACCTGGCTTACTACCCCAATCTGTCCATGGAAGAAATGCTCAAGAGAGCCAACTTCATCGCGGCAGTCAGCGTCCAGGCTGCAGGAACACAGTCATCTTACCCATACAGAAAAGACCTGCCACTTCACCTGTTTTGATTGCTGTGGATTCTGACATAAATATACCCAGAAATAAATATACCCGTACTTGGAGGTGGACACTCTTAACTAGCAGCTTACTATAAAAGGTCTTCTCCCTTCTTTGCAAACATATGTTCATTTACTAAGTCGTCCTCCAGTTTACATTTTTTAAATCTTACAATGATTAATTTCTTTGCTTTTCATGCAAGAGCTAGCCAGAAGTAAGGGTCCCATAACCTGGACCTGGACCACCACTCAAGAACCCACAAACTCTTATTGCCCACAGGTCATGAGTACTGTATGTACACCATACGGCAGAGGTTGTGGACAAGTGTCTGGAGTCAGAGTGGAGAGTGTTGCACAAGGGGATGGCAATATGAGTTGGACTGCTCAAGCAGTTCCTGAGAGGGGCAGCTGGTACTCAGGTTTGGTTTTAGTGCTTTCAAAGCCTCTGGTTTTGCAAGAGAAGCCAGAAGTTTTAGATGTTTATTGAACTCTGTTTCAGAGTTTAAGTGTCGGCAACTCATCTTTTAAAAATGTAAAAACCACCTGGGGGCCACATTCAGCCTATGTGCTGAATAGACAAGTCATTGGTTAAGCCAGACTATTTTTTAAAGGCAATTCATGAATGTCACAGATGCTTTACATTGTACATAGCTAATAGGATCTGGTGAAAGATTTTTCTTGTAACCCAACGCCATTATGTAGTTTCTATCTAAATGTAACCAAGATCTCACCTATTATTGCTTTGAACCAGAGCTTTAACAGAAGATGCCATAAAACAGCTGACTGACTATAATGCCACAGGCCTCTAAGGCGCAACTGTCTATATCGAATTCCACTTCCACAGAGCTGTTCTTGAGCCTCCTCCAAAGACACAGACAGGGCCATGGGGAGGGGACACCTGTTGTTTTGAAACAGTATTGGTTTCTGAATGCTGGTGGTCATGCTGGACACTCTCCTCCCACACATGCTTTAAATGGGGTAGGACGTGGGCCAGCAGAGCTCAAGAAATAAGCTGATCCTTCTTACCTTCAGCCAGAAATTTGACAAGACAAAAACTGGGCAATTTTGAAAATCTGTGGGAAACAATAGCTTGAGGGAGAAAGTCTGTATCAAGGTAGAGTAGGAGTCCTTACCAAACATTTGGGATTATCAGTGGAATTTTCAGGCTGACTAGCTGTGCAGTAATATCAAGACCCAGGGCCCTTACTGTAGCTTTATGGAAAAACACTGTAGTGCCTTTTACTAAAGAAAAAAATCTAGGAAAGAAAGGAGTCAAAGGTTGTCCTAGGAAACCCTAGATACTGCTTTTGTGAACTGAGTTTGACAATGTGGACCAATGGCATTTTCCCTAATTATACAAACACAAATCACAGAAGTTCTCACAGCTTCTTTGGTGTTAGAGGGCTGAGGCTGGCTCCCTTCTTATCACTCCTGCTCACCTTTGCCATCTGTTATTACATGGGAGTTTTTCCAAGAACATTCTGGAATGTGGCTCTGTCTCTTCTGTGAAGTACAAGGAGGAATAGCCTGGAAACTCTTGCACAAGTCCCATTGTGAAAATTTTCTTTCATTATGTGAAACAATGGTTATTTTTCAGTAATGTAGGTGTGTTTTTAATTTCAAATGGTAGGGGAAACATCACTAAGAGACAATAGCACAGGCTATTTTAATATATTTTTATTAAGGGCTATAAAAATACCCAGAAAGATAAATAAATGTGATACAGTGATGTATGTCCTAATATGAAGAACTCTCTTTCACTTCATTGTTCTCCCTCACAATGGCCTTCAAATCACAGGAGGCAGTGGCTCCGTGTCATTTCCTCTTCTTTCATTACACGCTGCAGAAGTTCTGAATCAGGATCCCACCCTCCGTCTTCTCATTTATAAATCAAATTCATTTTCAATCCATTGTTTAGAGGGAGCGTATTTTTTTCTGTTCCACAAAGAGGACTTTTGTTTTCACTATAGAAGGAGAAAAAGGGTTATGGCAGAAAACTAAGAATTATCATCACCATTCTCTAACAAAAATACATATTCAACCATGAGCCCTCTCCCTTCTCTTATTTTACTTTGACAGGAGGACGGAGTTGACTTGCAAACTCAGTTCCTCAATCCCAGAGGCCAAAGACAACTAGAGAAAATGGTAAGGAAAAAAGTGGCACCCTTGGTACCCTACAAGATCACATTTCAACCACTGTGAAATATCCAAATTAAAAAATAAAATTATGGGCAAAAAATAGAAAACACTTGATTTAACTTCACCCAGTTAACATCCACTCTTGTAGGAGGTAAGCAAGGACAGACTGGAGCTGGACTCCAGGAAAAGAGCAGTAAGAATTGAGCAGACCACGGAAGAAAAGGCAGCCTGAGAGAGTAAAATACACATTAAGTCTTGTGCTTTCCACAGATGGTTTCAAATACCCAAAAAAGAAGAATTTTCTAGTTTGGTAAGAGGATTAACATAATAACCACAATTACATCATTATAAATAGAAGAGATTCAGTTCTCCGAAACAAAACCCAAACAAGAGTGCTAACTGCCTGGATGAAAGATTGGAGACTAGATGCTAGGCAGTAAGATTTTCCCAGTTCCTATCTAATGCCCTATGGTACCCTGTTAACTTCGTATTTCTCTCTCTCTCATTCACACTCACCTTCTTTGCCAAAAACAGTGCACCTAGGAAGACCCAGGAACTCAAACAGTGACATAACAACTCACTTGTCCCTACCATACAAAGATATTTGAGCTTTGTTTTTTTTTTCCCTTCTTCTATAATCAACATGGACACTCTGTATAGGAGGTTCCCAAACTGTCTATAATTAAGAATTAGCTAGAAGGCCTATTGAAATAAACTCCTGCTTCTTGCCTCTACCCCTGTGGCAATTCTGGTTCAGCAGATCCAGAGGAGGACTGAAAGTCTCTGTATTTTTAAAACCCTCATGATTCTAATAGGCATTTGGATTGGAGAACCATTAACTAGACAATAGAATTTTATAATATTAATTTTAAAATGAAATACACATATTATATTTTATTATAATAAAAATAAAATGTACATAGGGGTATTTTAATATACTTTATCTAATATTAAATATAAGTAGGACTGATATTCCTTCAAAGGCCAAAGAGGACTACAAAGCATTATAAAATTATAGTAAAAAACAAAATAGTTTCCTATCAGACAATATTATTCATTGTAAAAAGTATTTCCCAATGTTTTTCTACACAGAGCTAAAAAGACAGATAAAAGAAGGAACCTGTCTTACTCATAATCAGTCAGGAGACTGTGTGACTGTGAACAGGAGGAACTGATGAGGAAAGGTAAAGCGAGGCTTTATTTATGAAAATTTTCAACCCACTGCATTCATTCCCTTAATTCAAAGAATAAATACTTAAGTCCACAGAGTCAGGCAGTGTGGAGTTCCCAGGAGTGCAGGGAGGGTCCTTGAGCCTCTGGTGCAGAGCAATGGCAGTAAGAGGTGGGAAAGACAGCAGGGCATCAAGGCCTTAAAAGCTACACGAACCACAGAAGGTCCTGATTCAGAAAAAAGAAAAACCAGGAAGATTCATTCAGCTCCAAGAAACAAACTGGAGTCAGAAAGGCTGGGTTCAGACCTCAGCCCCACCACTTCTCTGCTGTGAGAAACTCCTCAAAATCCCTTCCCTCCAGGTTCTTTCCCTATGGAGGGAAAACTCCCACTGCCTCCCCGGACGCTGCCAGGTACACAGTGAACACTCACTACACCCCAGCCGAGCTGAAATGACACCCTGCTATCCACACTCAAAAACATAAATCAATTTTGTCAAAGCATTTGCTGCTTAGTACATAAAAGAATGAATCTGTTGAGTTCTTTTCCCTACATCTAACCTAAATCTATTCTGCTTCAATTAAAGTCTGTATTGTCCTGTTTAGTCATCCACGGCATTAAAACTGACAAGTTTTCCTGTTCTTTATGATAAACCTTCATATATTTAACAAAGTCTAATAAGCTTATGCCTCAGCCTTTAATCCTGCTCAGAAATTCCCATCTAGTTCTAGATGAGGAAAATGAGCATGGAAGGACAGGGGCTGATTCCAGACATACAGCACACTCTGAAATGCTGGAGGAAGTGAGAATTTGTCTGTCTCCTTACCTGACTGCCTTCATAAAGCAGACTAACAAAACACTTCCCTTAAACTAACCATTTATTTACTGCAGTAAAATATGCTGGGAGAATTGCCAAAGTATTTGGTACCCTGAGCAATGGGCAGGCCCCAAGGCACATATCAGCACGCAAGCCTGCAGGGTATTCACTGAGTATTTAATAGATGGGCAGAAAGCCAAGCAGTCTGAGGTCCCAGAACATTCTCTTCTGGAAAGACAAAGTGTGCTGTCAGGGCTCAGACCACTCCTTATCACAAAGGTTCTCATCGGCCTTAAAATTTATATATGGATCCTTCTCCCACTTTCCACTTATGGTCAGAACATTTATGATTGTACCCTTCCCCACTCTCAAAACTTGCAATCAATCCAACAAATAGTAAGTTCTTAATCAGAGTCCCCTTGATATCCATGGGAGCCAGGGGACAGTGGCTCTAGGAACCTCCCCCCAAACCCAGATACCAAAACACATGGATGCTCAAGTCCCTCACATAAATGGGACAGTGTTTGCATATACCTGCACACATCTGAATTACTTTAAATCATCTCTAGATTACTTATAATACCTAGTATATGTAAATGCCATGCAAATAGTTGTTACATTGTGTTGTTGAGGGAATGAAAGGGAAAGTCAGTTATGTAAAAGTTCATCATTTTGAGTTTTCACCAACTGATACAAAATGAGAGGGAGAAAACCACCACACCAATCCAAAATCATATGGCTGTGGTCTGACTGTTTTGTGTCCCAACCACCCCAAATTCACATGTTGAAATCCTAACCCTAAAGAGGATGGTATTTTAGGAGGTGGGGGTTTGGGGAGGTGCTTTGGTCATGACGGTGGCCCCTTCATGAGTGGGACTAATGGTCTTATAAAAGAAACCCCACTGGCATGCTTGCCCTTCCACCTTGTGAGGACACAGCAAGAAGAAACAGGCTATGAACCAAGAGGGCCCCACCAGAAAGTGACCATGGTTAGCATCTTGATCTTGGACTTCCCAGGCCCCAGAACTCTGAGAGACAAATTTCTGTGGTTTATAAACCACCCAGTATGAAGTACTTTGTTACAGAAGCCCAAATGGACTAAGATACATAGCTTATCATTCCAGTAATTTTCCACCATATTGAATATTTTCCACCTGAATTTCAGATGTCATCCTGAAATTCAGACTCCTGATCATCAGGTACAAACCTAGAATCCCCTTTTTATTACAAAAAAGAATGACCAGAAAATTTAACACCACAAAAACTGCAAGGAATTTTATTTGTTAAAGAATAGAACTCACATGATTTTAAGGTGACAACTGCTTCTCAGGGCCCGTTTTAAATGCCTCCTCATATTGGTACAGCCCTTATTTTTTGAAGGAGCTTTATTCTTATTTTTGTTAGACAAATGATGAATGCAACACAATTAACAGTGGTTTTAAGATCTTCTTAACAAACTCCAAAGGCAGCTAAGAATGTGGCTCACACTAACGCCTGAGCAGAGGTCCTGCGGCCGTAAGCAGGTTTCAGCCTCCTGCGAAATTTCTGTGACAGGTCCCTACATAAAGTGGCTCAGGGCCTGGCTCTGGAGTCAGTCCTCAGTTCAGATCTTTGTTTTGTCACATGTTTTGGCCGTGTGTCCTCCATTAAGGTCCCTGGCAGCAGAGTCCTCATCTATAAAACGGGATTCAGACTGCCCGGAGAGGGCAGGTGCTTGTGTGATGGTGGGTTCACAGCATCTGAAGGCATGAAGACTTGTGCAGACAAGCAAAGAATACAGAGCCTCCCATTCTGTCCGGGTGTTCACAAGTACTGTTTGTCTCCTTCCTTTCAGAGATCACTGTCTTTGTTGTCTATATTGTCCTTTTTTTAGTTGTTATTTCAGGTGGGAAGGTAAATTTGTTCCCGATAACAAAATCTTGACCAGAAGCGAGACTAAGTCTTGCTCTTAATGAAAAAGTTGATTATGAGGTTAAGTATCTGTCTTTCATTACATAATGGAGTCATTTTGGAAAATAAGATTCTGGTACCAGTTCTAATTCTGATCACCAAATGGACGTCTTGCAATTGAACTCAATTCCGACACTATCTACCTAGAGATGGTAACTCAGGAAAGGCCGGGCGGGAGGGGAGCAGAGTTTCTAGAGCCTCTCGGAGTGTGCCCCGCTCCTGGAACCCCACATGCTCACCAACCCAAGCTCCAGTACAGCCCTTATTAAGAAGCCATCATAAAGGTGCTATTTAAAAGCAAGGGCAGAAAGATGAAATGTATGGCCCCAAGTTTTCAAATAAGTAGTCTGTTGGCTAGTTTATTTTGCATCAATTCCTTCATGAAATCCAAAAAGGAGATGGGCTGCCACCAATGGAAACCGGGTGCTGACTCTTGTCAGTGAGCAGGCAATCTGGCCTTGGGAATGCCTGTCCCTTTGGAACAAATACTTCTATATATTGAGACCACTTCAAGTTACCACTTACTGTGGTATTTCAGCAGATGTATAAAACAGAAAATGAAATTTCCTACCCTCCTGCACTAATATATAAAAACCCTACTTCTTGAACTCAAATCTGGACCCAATTACTTACCTCTGACAGACAGATGATCCCAGGAGAACATCGCCTCTCCTTCTCAAGACACTCAGCGTATTCTGTTTCCAGAACAATACCACCTATTCTCTTTACACGGCGGTTTCTCACCTCGGACCTCTGGTTAACTACCCTTCTACAAGAGAGACTATCCCTGATGCATCCTTTCTAAAGTTGAGCTCCACCTCCTCCCAACTTTATCCCCTACCTCAGCATCCTGCTCGTTTCTCCCATACCACTTAGCATAATTTACATTTTTCCTTTCTCTCCCTTCCAAATCAGACTGTAAGTGCCAAGAGTGCAGGGGCTGAGCCTGTCTTGCATCCTAGTATTTCCCAGTAACAGAGATAGTAACCGGTACCATAGTAAACATTCAGTACATGCTTGCTGAATGCATGCTAATATCTAAAGGGCAAAAAAACTGCCAAATGTTCAGCATCAGTCTGGAGAAAGCAACAGGCTTTGAACGCATTTGAATTTATTGTGAAGTAACTTCTCTGAATCTTACCAAATGGATCATAATGCAGTAGAGTCAGTTTCTCCCCTAGTCGGCTTCTCTTAGCGTTGAAGGAGTAACCTGTCCCAGCTTGGCTTACCATTCTCACCAGAATGTTCCTAAGATTTAAAAGTAAGGTGTTAGAAGCTGAATAGATTAAAATCAGTCATAAAGGATGGCACATTTTGAGAGCCCTATACAGTAGTATTAGTTGTGGGATATCACTTGGCCCTAAGAAGGTTCAGTTCTAAGACCGACTACATTTTCTGTAAGCCACAATTTCAATGGTTTTCATTCCCATAGTTTGTTCCATTACACAGAGTGCCTTGGCAATGACCAAACCAAAGCAACAAGAACAATCAATCCACATTGTAGGAATAGACTCAGACACCCGCCTCTCAGAAGGAACAGAGGACAAGAAGAAAACAAAACACAAATGTACTGGTGGCCATAGGGGGATAGTCAGGGAATCATGAAGATGGCTGTGTCAGAAGAGCCCTGTCTATCAGGGATGAGCAGTAAGAGTAAAATCAGGAAGAGACAAAATTAAGGGATTCAAACTTTTATATTTCTACAATGTGAAACCTTGTTCCTCTTCATGTATTTCATTTTTAAGTTACAGTGCTTAAGAGTATAAAGTTCATGTTCTGCCTCACTGGACTTTTTAATACCTGCTACTGTTTGTTACTTTTTCCTGTGTCTCACCTCCCCACGTAGTCCATGCTGCTTTATTTCCCATCTAATGCCAAAAAGCATACAAAGCATCTAAGACATATTATGCATCTTTGTATCCCTTTCCTTGTTAAGCAGCATATAGTATTTGTTGATTAAGAGACAATAATTAGCCATTCATTCAAAAAGATTTAACAAAAATTTATTAAGCCTTGGCCAGGTGGCTCAGTTAGTTGTCTTGTTCCACACACTAAGGAAGGTTGCAGGTTCAACCCCAGGTCAGCTGCATATAAGGAGGCAACTGATTGATGTTTCTCTCTCTCTCTCTCTCTCTCACACATCTCCCTCCCCCCTCTCTTCCTCTCTCTCTAAAATCAATGGAAATGTCCTTGGGTGAGGATTAAAAATAAAAATCTACCAAGTGCTTTCTCTGTGGAAAGCACGATGGGAAATAAAAAACTACATTAAGGCTTCGGAAACTAATAATATACTACGCAAAGTGAGAAGGTCTATAAGGCAAAACATGTATGACAAATGTCACAGGAAGAATACAAAGAACATGAGAGGCAGGGAGTAGCTCTAAAGAAACCAAAGGCATGAGAGATTCCTACAGAACCCAGAGGTAGGAAATTATAACATGAATAACTGGATTATGGGAAAAGCTACATGAATCAATAAAAGCTATGGGTAGGGGGTGGAGGGGGCACTAATATATATATTTTTTCATTAAACTGAACCCAAAAAAATAAAATTAAAAAAAAAACCCTAGTCTTAAGGATTTATGTTTGTGATGTTTCCTGGGTTGTAAGCAAAGGCTCCTTTAGAATTTTCCTGTTTTTAACACACACACACTCACAAAATCTTCAGTTACTGTCCATAAAAATTTTAAGGTAACAGTTTGGTATTTATAGTCTTTCTGGTACATCACAAATTCTTTAATTTTTGCTATTCTGAAATGCTTATATCATGAGTGCAAAGAATTCCAAAACTCACTGAAACAGGCTGTGTGGTTTAATCAAATCACAGCGTGTTCTGCTAGATTCCTGCAGTGGGCTCCCAACAGCCACTGGTCCTCCAGCTGAGGCAACAGAAATATGATGGCAGTCTAAAGAGAGCATGGGGACCCTGGCAGCTTCTTTAGAAACACGACAGCAAGAGCTCCTTTAAGTAACGTATTTGAATATTCACTTAAGAAACTCAGTTGAACATGAGGAAAAAGTATATTTTGAAGAAGTTCATCAGGCCAAAATAATTCATCAAGTAAGCAGTGATTAAACAGACTTTTAGAAAATCGAGGCCAAATGCTTAGTTTAATATAAGGATGTATTGGCAGCAGCTGGACTAAGGAACATAACAAAGTTTTTAAAAAAGAAAAACTTTTACTTACTTTGACTTGCTCTTGGCAACTTTTTGTAGCAAGGAGAAGGTGAAAGAGAAAACAAAAACACCAAATTACTATCTTATGCAAAGTTCATATAAATGCCATTAATAACTAAAAATATTTACGTAATCAAGTATGCCATGGGCTGTCACTCTAGGAACTACTGCCTAGCTACCAGGGATCTTGTCAGGACTTTACAGAAGGACGATAAAAAGATCCAATAAGACCAACATAATTCTGGGTGTAATGCTTTGCACAATCTCTTTTCAGTCAGACTGCCTTTGAAATCTTTCTGGAGTAATACCTGCTCTGTTTGTTCTTTCTAAGATGCAAATGTTTGCACTGGAACAAGCCCCTTGTTTGACAAGTTAACCAGGTGAAGGAGGGAAACCAAATCTAACCGGGAAGCCAGGCCGGTGCACCGAAGGCCCTTCTTTCGCTGCCCAGCTTTGGGACCCAGGGTGAGTGCCCCCCTCCCCCGGAAGCCGCGTCCTTATCCTTCGAGTGCCGAAGGGGTGGACAGGACGTTCTGGGGTCTCTCCCAGTCCGGACGCTCAGTGATTCTGCGGACACATCCCTACCGAGGGCGGAGGAAACACCCCATTCCCGCTGACCAGACCCCGCACACCAAAACCAGACCCCGTGGCCCCGAAGACCCCCGAGACCCGCTCGGCCCGCAGCGCCGCGGGGCATGCCGGGCGCTGTAGTCCTGAGGCGCGGGAAGGCCGCTGTTGCAGCTTCCCAGCCAACGCGCGCACTCCGCCCGCTTCATCCCGGGTCTGCCTGTCACCACCGCAGGCTCCCGCCGCAGACCTCGCCGCCGCCGCGTTCTGCAGCCCCACTTACAGGAAACAACAGACAGGAACATGGTGACGACACCCTAGCAGCCTCCTTCAGGTGCCCTACGGCCCTCCAAAAACTGCTTCCGGGGCACAGGCTAGTTCCGGAATAGGAGGTCAGCCACTGGTCCACAGCCACGCCCCTCGGATATAAACCTGGGTCCCCCCACCTGCCTCCGGTCTGTGTTCTTTACATGCCAGGTGTTTTGTTTTTGTGCTGGGGGATATTGGAGTCCCCCCTTCCTTTTGGTAAGAGACTTTGCTGCGCTCAGAGTTGGAGCCCCAGGCCCTGTGTCCTGCTTCTGGACCAGAGCTAGGTGCTTTCCATACTTGACTAAGTAATAGCAGCCACCTATGTGAAAGCCACAGAAAGGGTATGTGTTTCTCACCGCTCCAGGATGACTTAGGCTTTTTTTTTAATGCATCCCAAATAGCTTAGGTAGAAATGGAAAGTGGGTTCCGAAAGCTAGAGAGAAGCTGACATATAAACAGATACTCCTGTGCCTGGTCCCTGACTGGTCCATCCTCATGCAAATGAGGACTCCAAAGCTTCACAGTTTGATATAAAAGTAAGTGTCCTGATTGGCCAGAATGGAGGCACTCACACTGGTCAGTGAAGATGCTCAGGATGGGCGGTAGGGGAGATAAAGCTGCACAGCTCCAATTGGACAAGGAAAGCCTCAATCCTAATGGTTGAAATAGGCAGGATTCCAGGAACTATTCTAAAAGGGCTGGCCCAGATAAAACAGCAGTGGAGGCAGGCAGTTCAGTGGTTCAGTTCAGGATTCTCCCTGAAGTGCAGTTTGCGTGAGAGGCCCCTTTGTAGAAATATCAGCCAGGCTTTGTTTTGAGCCCAGTGAAACTTCCAGGAGACCATCCAGGTAGGTATCTCCTTTCTCCGCGTCCACAGTTTCTAGAAGGGCAGGACCCAGTGCATCTTGTTAACTGCTGTATCTAAGCACCTAGTACAGTGTCAGGAATGAGTAACTAAGATTGGGAGCTCTCACATAATTTGCTTAATGTCACAAAACTAGTAAGTGTCTGAGTTAGAATTCTGACTGCAAAGACTCATGCCTTTCCCACTAGACTTTGGGACCTGCAAGAATGGAAGAATCTTCAATTCTTCATGTCTCTGCACGGAGCAGGGACCTCTTCAACACCATGGACTTCATTGGTAACCTCACTTCCCAACAAATAATAAGGACTTTTAGGTTTTTTTCTAATCTGTGATTTTATCAATATATTAAATCTTACAAACACATGAAATAAGAGTCATTCTCATGGGCCCTGGCTGGTGTGGCTCAGTGGATTGAGTGCCGGCCTGTGAACCAAAAGGTCGCTGGTTCGATTCCTGTCAGGACGTGTGCCTGTGTTGCAGGCCCAATCCGCAGTTGGGGTGTGTGAGAGGCAACAGATTGATAGTTCCCCCACGCATCAAGGTTTCTCTCCCTCTCTTCCTCCCTTCCCCTTTCTAAGAGTAAATAAACCCTTTTAAAAAAATTCATTCTCATGGATTATCATCACTGAAACTAATAAAAGAAAGAGAAAACTGAGTTCTCCAACACAATTCAACTCAATTTGTAAAATCAGGACTGTCCTTGCTCTTAATACCTCTAATGTTCACTTTACCCTCTAATAAGTTTCGATCCTCACCTTCCCATCATCTGACTTCCACAACTGAGCACTCTCTAGGTGCCCAAATCCTTCCTTACCTTGTACAGTTCAGCTGCTGACAAGCAAAAGCTTCAGGTGTCCAAGAGGGTAAGGTTTCTTATCTAGGAAATTCCTTTAAAGGATTTATAAGAAAACACAGGACTAGAAGCCCAAGAGCATGAATCCTAGTCTTTGTTATGCTCCCTGGAAAGTCATTTTAACTCCGTAGCCCCCCGTTTCATTCTCAGTGTAGGCACTGGGTCAGTGGTTCTCATTCCCGAGGGTGCACCAGTCAGTCAGCTGTGGTCTTTTAAAAGACGCGTGTGCCTGGGGTGAGGCAGAGAACCCATAAAGTAAGCCCCCACACACGATTTTTTATAAAGAAGCATTTTAAACATATCAACAGGTTGACAGGATAGTACAGTAAACAAAGTATATACCTAATGTAACAATTGTTAATAATCACTAATACATAGTGCTTTTTGCTAAGCTGCGTGAAAATAAATTGCAGACATAACAATCTTTCAGCCCTAAATATTTAAGTATGTATCTCTCAAAAATAGGATCATTATAACCACAGTATATACTGTTTTTACTCCTTAAAAAATTAATAATTGTTTCATAATATCTATACCATATTCAAATTGTCTTTTATAGCTGGCTTCTTCAAAAGCAATATCCATTCGAGATTCACTTATTACCTTTTGTTGTTACAAATCTTTAATCTCTTTCAAATCAAAAACAAAACCTCTCATTTTTAAAAATCCTTACCCAAGAATATTTTTTATTATTGACTTTTAGAGAGAGAGGAAGGGAGAGGAGAAAGGGAGAGAGAGAAACATCAACGGCAGAAAGAAACATCGGTTGGTTGCCTCCAATAAAAACGTGACCCAACTGGGGACTGAACCCAGAGCCTACATAGTGCCCTGACCAGGGATCGAACCTGCACCCTTTTGGTGCATGGTACAATGAACTGAGCTGCCCAGCCAGGGCCCCTCCCTTATTTTTTTAAATGACACTGAACTTATAGAGACTGAGCTTGTTTCCTGTGGAGTCTCCCATATTCTGGATTTGTCTGATTGTGTTGTTATGATGTCACTTTATTTGTTTTTCTATTCCCTGTATTTCCTGTACATTGGAAGGCAAATCTGAAGTAGATTTGAGTGGAGTCCACCTAAAACATTTTTGACAAGTGTCCTCAGTGATGCTGTCAACTTCGTATTGCAACATGAGACCCAGAATGTCAGGCTCGCCCTTTGCAAGTGCCGATGTGAGTGATCTCCACATCTCTCCGCTGTAAAAGTAGATGTTTTCTCTCTCTGCAGATTTCTGTGGGGTAATACTATGGCACATGAAAATATGCTGTTCCCCAGCAACTTTTCCTCGTGGTTTTAACATCCACTGATGATTTTTTTGACTCAGTAATTACATTTGGGGTGCATGAGAGCTGTTTTCTAAGTTATACCATTCCTTCTTCATTTATTAGCTAGTTTTCCTCTGATTTCTGTCAATTTGGGGTAAATTATTGTTCCTCCTAAAAAGGCAGAATAAATGTTATTTTTCTTTAATTACCAATATTCAAGTAAGAAGAGTCACTTCCAACAGTGACAAAGAGGTTTTACCCCTTTCTGTAATTTTATTTTTATATCGTTTTATGGATTTGTATTCATTGTTTTATAATCACCCATGTTTATCAATATTTTTGATGATCAAATTTTCCCAAATCAGCCATTTCTCCCAGCTACTCTTGCCATTGGGAGGCCCCTCCAGCTGACCCAGTGTCCTTGAACGCATTTCCTTCCTTGCTTTCGGTCACCAGCTTTGTCAGGTCGGACCTGAAATCAGCCATTTCTCTAAGACACCGTGCTTCCTACTTCAGGCGACACGTACAGGCCGCACTCTCATGCACGGCCACTGGACTGGCTTTCAGTGGACCTCAAGCTTTATTGTAAATCATGGGCTCGTCACTCAAGTGCAGTCTGTGTCAGGCACTCACAGTGTAAAACAAAGCTTCCTGTCTTAAGGGATATTCTCAGAACCTTGGACTTTACAGGTCACAGAAGGTCTGGACTGTACAAAAGCCACATCGCTTCCAGCCCCATTGCTCTGGATCCTAGTTTGAGGTTTCAAACCACACCCACAGGGCCCGGGGGCTCTCTGCCATACTTCCCGCTCTGTCCGACCATGCATAGGCCTGGTCCAGCCAGGAGATAACCCTGTAGGCACTTAAGCAACAATGGCAGGAACAGCCTAGAGCAGAAAACTACTTAAGGCCTGGACTGCCTCAGAGATAGGAAAGAACATTTCAGAAATAATTCAGGACTAAGGTAATAGAGTGCCTACATAGACTAAATGTCTGTGTCCCACCCCACCCCCCAAATTTATACATTGACACCTAATCCCCAATGTGATAGTATTTAGAAGTGGGAGGTGATTAGGTCATGAGAGCAGAGCCTTCACGAAGGGGATTGGTGCCCTTACAAAAGAGACCCCAGAGAGCTCCTTGCTCCTTCTGCCATGTGAGGACACTACAAGAAGCCAGAAGTCTGCAGCCTGGAGGAAGGTCCTTACCTGAACCTTGGAACATGCTGACACTCGGACTTCTACCCTCCAGAACTTTGAGAAATAAATCTCTGCTCTTTTCAAGCCACCCCATTATGGCATTGGGTGACAGCAGTCTGCACAGAGAGGGTGTCTCTCTCTGAGAACATGACATCAAGCTTTTACCTTCTGCCCAACTCTCCATGGAATCCACTCTTGTGCAGCCCCCAAGTGACCACGATAGCAAATCCATGGTCAGTTGTCGTGCCGCGTTTTACTCAGCATCTGTCAGGGTCATTTTACACAGTTGCTCACTCTCTCTTCCTTTAAACTCTTTCCCCACGTGCAATCCAAGCACCCACTATCTTGGTTCTCCTCCCACCTCATCGTGATTTTTCTCCATTTTTCTCTCTCGTACCTCTCAGGAGAGGCATGCCCAGGGCTCAGGCCTTGGACCCCTTCTGTGTCCACACTCATTCCCTCATGGTCACACCCAGGCTCCTGGTTTTCAAAATACCCACAGACAGAAGACTTCTAAGTTTATATCTCCAGTCCCAGCCTTTCCTCGGAACTCCAGATTGGTGTATTTACCTAAACCACGTGCCATCCTATGTCCGAAATCAAATTCCCAAACTTGCTTTGCACCTCCCCAGTCCGCAGGCTCTCCTCACACTGGCGTGTGGCGATTCCATTTTTGCAGGTGCTCAAGTAAAATACCTGGGCACCAACTTGACACTCCTTTCTCTCACACCCTAAATGTAAGCCCCCAGTAAGTCCTGTCACTGAAATACCACCCAATCCAGACACACACACTCCCTGGTCTCCTAGCCCTGCTTTATATTTTTCTATAGCACTCATCACAGTTTCATATTAATTTGTGTACTTGTTGAT